TTAATGGTTAAACCAAAGTGGAAACACTGGCCAATAAGGTCAACTTTGCAATTTCGGTGGCGTATGATCAATGATAACATCTCCATGTTCTGTTTCAAATTAAAGAAGAGATGAAGATGCACTTTGTGTTGTGTGCTTGATGTTGTCGGTATGTTTTGAATTAAGCATGCGTGTTTCTAATATGTCTCCTCTTTTGTTTTTTTCAAGTCCTCGTCTTGTTTAGTTGACTATGCATACATCTCATCTCATCTCATAGAGAACGTTCAATGGTTTGGACCGACTCCATTATGTCTAGGGTTTAACAAAAATATAAAGAAAACCTCAACTATTTCTAGTCAATTGGACTTATATTAAAAATAAAATAAAAGAATGTTATCTAGATTTGAAAATCGACTGATTATTTATGCTAGAATGTTGATGTGAACAAAAGTCAACTGACCTCAATTAAAATAGCAAAGTTATAAAGTTTCACTTAAAAATTGATATTTCAAATCTAGTTTGTGGACAACATATATCGGGTGACGTGGAGTACATGTGTGTTCGTTGGGCTTTACAAGTGGGCAAACCTCGCTCTGATTCCACGAAGGAGGTTGAGGTTCCACCATAAAACCAATTGTCAATGAGGGAAGTAGCTCAACTTCTTACAAGCCATTCCAAGATTTGTTAACTTCCTAATGTGGGGCATTTCTATCTTCACATCTAGTTTGTACCTTCTAAGCGGAAGAATTACATCCACTTAATACTCTATTATGTTATGAGTGATACACTAATTATCAATTAGTCATAATAATTGATGTATTAAGTAAATCCACTTATTACCTAATGTAATAATTGTGATTTCTCTATTATATGTTATGAATGAGAATTTGCATGTTATGGGGATATCACTGTTTTTGTATCCTCATCCAATCACGCTTTGTACTGTAAAATTTTATCATGTGTGGCGGAACGTAATTAGTTGGGAATATTCCCAAAACGGTGCTATCCCATGATATACAAATTTTTCTACTATTTTGTGTTGCACATTTCTTATACTAATGTCTTCCCAAATGGCCAATGGCAACTCAGAATGAGAAACCAATAGATTGTCTCTCCCATGAACCCCACCCCAAAAACTAACACGTGGCACAGAGAAGAGCAAACTCTCCCTTTCATGCATCACGGGTGTGGGGCGCAACATGTCCATTTCATGCTTTCTTTCTACAACATACAAGAGAGAAGCTTCTTTCTTTATATTCCCGCTTTGCCAACCAAACCGATTGACTCCCACCTCACAAAACCTACCGAAGTACCCACTCCAAATCAGATAACACTTAAGGTTGTAATTAATGGCTCTAATTGGAGAAGATAAATTAAAGGGAAATTACTTAACTCACCGAGTTCAACAAATGAAAAATTATTTTGACTCGGAGTTTGTCATATTCTACTATTCTAACTCATTTTGCGTGTAAAAGATCTAGATACCGAATTGAATAAAAAATTAAACGTAAGTAATTAACGAGTTTAAGAGGTTTGTAGCTTAAGTCGTTAAGAGTAGTTATCTCTGTACTCGAGGTCATGTGTTTAGAATTCTCCTCTCTCAATATCACATCACTTGTATAAAAATAAAAATAAAAGTAAGCAAAAATTAGAATAATTTAAACAAGGTCATTTTATGTGATTTTCTAAATTTTAATGAGACGCTTCTTTGATAATAGTAGTAGTTATGTCTTTCGTTATGTATTTTTAGACATAAAAATTAAATACGAATCCAGCTGTCACATAAAGTTTTTCTAAAAATGATTAAGCAGTGACATGTGAGTCTGTGACTGCAACTGCCAAGTGACATATGATGGATTAGCGAGATACACAAGAAGGGTACTATTCTGTTTGATATACGTATGAGACAGAGACCATACATTATCTTCTAATAAAAAACCCAAGTCTTGTTTTTATTTTTTATTTTTATAAAGTAAATCAAATCCAAGCCTTTTTCTTCGTCTTGGAGGTTGATTGATTGCATGTTCCATTTTGTCTACAATATATATTCAGTCCGCAAATTTGTAATTCGTAATATGTGCTTCTCTTTTGGACTTTCTCTATCACAGATTACAAATTTGTGGATTGAATATGGATTTTCATTTGGAATCGTTAGATGTCATGGGAAAGACAAAAGAGAAGCACTGGTCTCCTGGATTGGATAGGTCTACTTGTTGTTTCTTTGTTTCTCAAATGGTGGTGCAAAGGGGTATTTTTTATGTTAAATCTCTACCGCCCGTGACATCTAATGGTTTCAAATAGAAATTGGTATTCAATCCGCAAATTTGTAATCCGTAATGGAGAAAGTCCATATATATATATATCAGTCCTCTTTTATTTAGGAACCCTTAAATAATTTTATTTGAGGGACGCCGTTTAGGGTATCCTACGAATATTTTTTTAACGATCCAAACCATCTATTTTTTAGGTCTTCATTCATAGATCATCCTTGCACAAAAAAAAAAGACAAATCGGAAACCGTTTAGACATCTAATTGTGTCCTACAAAATCAGAGAACACGGTTCTTCAAGAAAGTACTAAATTTTCAATAATTTAATTGAGTGATCAAATGATATCAGATTCAAGTGAATTTTTTTTTTAGAGATGATATTTGAATGAATATCTACAAAATAGACGGTTTGAATTATTGAAATACAATACAGAGTAGGCTATACAATGGTGTTCCTCAAATAAGCTTATTTAAGGAATCCCTCAATAGAAGTTATATATATATAGAACCCTCCTAAAAAAAACTTTATATTTATTATCATGGGAAATTAATTTATTTTTTCAAAAAAAGAGACAAAATCCAGCAATCTGCAGAAGGCATCAGTCAACTGAGTCAATGAGACTGATACTATATGAAGCAGGTATTATTTGTTTTTATTTATTAGTGCAGCATATCATACGTCAAGGCTCCAATTTTAAGGTTTTAATCTATTCATTTCATTGATATGCATGACATAATTTAATCTTTTGTAACAATCAAGAGGGTCAACAATTTTCGACCAAAAAAAAAAAGAGGGTCAACAGTTTTAGTTTAGGTCGACTCAGGCAAGTAAATTTAATTATACTATAAGTGCAAACACATGCCCAAGATGCCAACTATTTCTCTAATTAACACATGTTTAAATTGTCAGATTATGACTTTGTACTTGATTTCATAAGCACAATCTACAAAGATTAATTTGACCGATGATTCAAATTTACAATATGACAGACAAACTAGACTCGTAAGAGAACTTTTCTAATCATGTTTCTGCCGAAGCTTATTGGCTGCTCATAATCACATTTATTATACTATTTCTAAACAATAATTAGGTGATGGTATGAGAAAATATTGGGACAGATTATACGAACCCTAAATGAGAGGGATCGTATTAAAGGGTAGAAGCTCACATGGTGAACATTCCCGATGTCTAGCTTGATCGATCTGTCATATTTGTTGTCATCATGTTCAAGAGTGAAAGTATTTTAAATCCTCCTTGCATGAAAAGGAAAATAATAATACTAAACTACATGTTAGTTAAATAAAATCTGTACTAGTTCGATTTTATGCTTAAAATAATTCAAAATTTTTTAACCTAAGCTATTGTCAATTTTGAAAGTGACTTGATTCTAATATTCTTTCTCTTGATCCTCTCTCCTTTGTTTTTTGCTCAAAATAAAATATAAGTTTCTATAATTGGAATCCATGTGTGGGGTACTAGTATTTGGAATTTTGTTCCCACAATTTTTTTATTAAAGAGAATGGGTGATTTGAACTTAAATCTAATCAACATTACAGGGAGGGGGATTCGAACTAGGGTACAGAGTGGGGAGCACATCTGCTCTAGTCAACTTAGCTAAGCCCATGTTTGTTGGTTAATCATGGGCTTAATCATGTTAATTAGTTTGTAATTAATTTGTAATAACTATGTGTTGTTTGATATGATATTGGGAAATTTGGGTTAAGAAGATCCCTTGTTGCCCTATTTTGGACTACATTCCACAAGCAAGTGCATTCACTTCTAGTTAATGTCTGTGGGAGCGAGGACAGTTTTTAGATGCTAAAATTGGTCTGTGCGAGAGGATAGAGATATATACAACCCAAATGAAACTGGGAATGATTGTCATTATTCTAACAAGCTTGTAATAAAGTCTAAAAGAGTGTAGTAGAAGTGAAGTTCATTATTATTAAACGAAGAAAAATAAAATAAAAGGAAGAAACACATTGGGTCCTGGGAAGTTGACGACTCCCAATCATGATTAAAAACAGTAGTCACACAGCCGAAGTGTGATGTCGACCTGTGAAACAACAAAAGTCATGGTTTTAAGGAGAAATTATTGTATGATATAATGGAATACTGTCATGTGATGTTATTAATTCATATATTGTAATATAAGTGGACGATATGTTTATACTATTGGTTACACCACGTAATGGTATCTTAGTGGAAAAGTGCTCGGTTTTAGTCTTCGGAGTCAGATTCATCAACTAGCTCTTGTCGGATTTATGCTCTAAAACTATTCTTGGCCAGTTTGCAGCACTAAAACTATGGGTTTTGGTAGTCATGAATACATTTTGTAGGGTCGGTCATGGCTGCTTTGTTCCCTCTTTTTCTTTGTGCGGAACAAGGAAAAGTGGAATTGTAAAAGCCCAACGTTTTAGTGAGAGCCGCATTTCAATGCTACAAACGAGAAGCATCCAGTGAGATTTTCTTATGTATATTCTGAGAAGTTTCTTAAAGCACATTTTAGGTACCTGTCAATCTTTATGAAAGAAAATATGCTCCACATGCAATTAGAATCATTCATCAAGACCAATTTTCAGAAACAAAAGCATTGCTAGGAATATTTAAACTCATCCATGGCAAACTTGAATCAAGCAATTATAATCATTCATCAAGACAAATTTTCGGAAACAAAACAAAAGCCTTACAAGGAACATTTAAACTCATCCATAGCAAACTTGGAAGTTCCAAGGCATTGATTTCTTTCAGCTTTCAAGTTGCAGTTAGTTGAATATCACAACCGTGGTTCACAACAAGAGAAACATACTACTAAATTACTAATATCATTTGCAAAGGGCCCAGATTCAAGAAAATTAAGATGAACTAAATATTACAAGATCCACCTAGTATTACATTTGAAGAACAACCCGCTAATCAATCCCCACTGGCACAACCCTTACAGCCACAATGCACACACTCTATAACCTTCTCCTCCCTCAGATGCTTGGGCACACGACACACACATGTTGTGGCAAAGTTATGATCGCGAGGCTGCATGCATCTTAAACAGCAGAGGCGTTCATAACCAGGCTGCATTTCAAACACAAACCACATGTCATCATACATGATTAGATTTGAGTGATAATATAATAGATTTAATAAAAAGACACAAGGTACATGAGGTTGCAATATTTTCCTTATATATTCAATATACAGTCACTGTTATCCAATAGTTTTACATACAAGTTACAACCTGCAATTAAGAATGTGATTCCAATACATGTAGCATGAGAATTTCAAAATCAACTCAATCAGTATTTCTCTTGCATTTGCTAATTTTCCAACAAAGCTATGTTTACTCCAATTTTCGTATCTTAAACATTCATGCTTATGTTCTTTCAACCTTATTTAAATGTTTTTCATGATATAAAGTAAAATCCAACCAAAAAAACCAGGCAACTTATTTCTAAGTTTGATGTATCATGCAGTAAGCTTCATACACAAATAAACCAAATTTAAATAAACTACTATAAAATAAATAAAAACAAGCAGCAGATCAAGATATTTGAGATTCTGAGACAAGCCTTTTTCCATTTTGCAATTAGATTGCGGTCAGCATAGCCTTGGTCCAGACAGAACTCGTACAACTCCTTGGATATCTCATTTCTCCGATGGTACAGGTCAAAAATGTAGCGGCTCTTTTGATGTGCTATTTTGAAGATCGGCCACAAGGTCTCACATTTCCTCTTACCATCATGAGTATCATTCTCGGCTGTCCAAAAGATAAAGGGAATATACGTTTTAGTATCCTTTTGCATTCTTAAACATATTAAATTTTCAAATTCAGTGGACAATGTAATAAAAACATGGAAGATTTATACCTTCTCTCATCTTCGCTTGTAGCTCGCGAATAGTTGGCTCAATCAGTTCCCAACCTTCTGGGTATTTGACTCGGTTGGTCTTCACCTTAGGCATTTTCTACCTGTCATCAGTGGAAACATATGATGAATTAATAGTCTATAAATTCCAAAGGCGCCTTCCACATTTAAGAAGCACATCTTTCCCACAAGTTAGTAGAAATACATTTTCCTCAATGACATCATGCAAAAAGAACAATCAATCATTTGCAAGTTCCACAACATATAAGCCGGTATATGCCACAATCTGTATTTCTTTCAGATCTACTCATTATAAACAGAATCACACAAACTCAAATACCCAACAATTACCAAACATATAAATCAGCCCAAGTGGAGTAATGTGATATATATATATATATATAGATGAACCATCAATCATAGTGGAAGGGTAAATATATCAAAAGATGCAAGAATAAAAGAAAAATTCCCATTGTTGAAAACAAGATGCCACAACTCTGAATAGCAGTTGTGTAAAAAAAATAGCTTTCATGGCAGAAAAGAAAAAGGAAAAGAAAAGAAAAGGCAAAGGCAAGCTATAATTCATGCATAGCATGATTTAATTGTAAAACCCAAAATCTCACAAGGGAAATAAAACCCCGGATGACTGTCAAAGTACCTAAGCGGAAAAAAAAAGTTGCGCAGAAAGTGCTCTCGTAGCCACAGATCAATAATCCAAACCCTAAATCCTTAATTTAACAAACCATTATTTTGAATTCAGAAAAATTCAGATACTTTAGAAATTGAAACAACCTAAAAGAGAAAAATCGCAAAATCACAAGCACAAACTCACATAATTTTATTTCGCAACAGTTGTGTTACTTACCTGACGGAGAGAAGAGAAGGCTGTGGAGACGATGGCGTTGTGGCGGGAACTGAGGCAGGCTGAGCAGAAGGAAAGAGACCCTTTTTTTTTTTTTTTTTTGGTGGTCTGAAGGAAAGAGACCCTAGACTAGAGAATTTGCCCAACTTTATTTCCGTTAATTTTCTTTTATTTCAAATAGAAATCCTTCTCCGACCAAAAGAAGAAAAAAACGAAATTAGAAAACCCAATCCAAAACAGTCAATCCATGAAGCCCAACCCGTAGACGACATGTCGTTCACGGTCCAACATTCCTACTGAAATTTAAAAGCCCAATCCAAAACTACTCGATTATCGATTATTTTGTTGATTAACAGGCGAGTAAAAGTCAAACTTGAGACATTTCAATATTGGAAAGAGAAGTATCACTACTTATTAGTTTGTTGAAGTCGACTATTTCTAAAAAGTAGGACTATTTTGGGTTTCGGGTTATGTGTATTTTAAACAAATTTTGCAATATGAAAGTTGGTTGTTGACTGGATTTGCTGCATTTTATCAAACTATTAATTGATGGAATGAAGTTGGCTCGGTTATTTGTGCTTCTCAAACTGATAATTTGATTGAATTGACTCTAGGTTTTTTATTGGGTCATAATGCATCCACTTGTATATTTTACAAAAGAAACCTATCGTGTTGGTGGAATTGGTTTTTATTATTATTACTTTTCTTTTTTATGTTCCACCACTTTCACCACTCACAACAGAGGAAAAAAAAACAGAGAAGGAAAGAAATGTTCATGTTCATCATCACCACCACATTTTGTTCACTAGAGTCTTTCCTTCACCACTGTTCTAGTGACAGTGCTGCTGTTCCATACCAGTACAAGTGTTTGTTTGTGGACTTGCCGCCTCCTACGAGCCTTAACAAATGAAACCTTGAGGCCCTTCTGAAGCTTGCATTTTGCGATCTTGACAGTACTTAAGAAATGCCTATCTCCATACTGTACCAAACAAAATAGATTAGGCCATCGTAACCCTTTCGGTTGTTTCGAAAAAAACACCGAGCAAAAATCGGTAATAATGTGTGTGTGTGCGTGTAAGGGAGATTTTTCTTAACTTACATTTGGAATGTCAAAATCACCTTCAGCTGCATCACAAAAGTCTAGCGACACATTCCTAAGCATTGGCAACTGCATTCAACATGTAAGGCACACAGTCGTTATTAACTTATTACCCGTTAAACTTGATTCATGAAGTTGAATACACCTGAAAACAAGAACAGTGGTATTACTATTACCTTCGAAGCGGCATCAAAAATAAAGCTTCTCTGCAACCCAGGACCCTGTATAATATGGATCAACATATAAGTAGTGGAAGGTATACCATGTTCCAATTGCAATATAAGTAGTGGCGGCATAACATTAAGGTATTAACTATTGTCATTAAAAGGAAAAGTCATTAAAATCTCACATTATGACGCAGCAAGATATCTTCAAGAGCTTTGCAGTCGAGAAGAGAAGAAACCCCCATTGTTGTTACTTGTCCACACTCCTAAACATCAAAACCGATCACATTTGTAAACATACATGCCACACTGATAATTATGCGTCAAATGAAACCAATCGTTGACAAATACAAGAACAAGAATAATATATAGATCTTTACAATTTCTTCATACAGCCAGAGAAAGAAGATGAAGAAGACATCTTTATATAGCAAAACCATGCTAGTCATGCTTCCGCTTATTATCATAAAACGTACAGAAGAACCAACAAAACTCTCATAACCAGCCATTAGAAAATTGAAAATGGCAAACCTCAAGATGGATAGACACCAAGCCTGGCCATCCTTGAGAAATTATTTGTTGAGACTCTGCAAACAAGACGGAACAGCAAGGTAAATGGCATATCAATTATCTTCCGGTTCCTCGAAAAAATAAGAGTAGCTACTATTATCAATTGCTCTAGAGGTACACCAACACACAGATAAGACAAGGAAAGGAAATCCCCATAACATGCTAGAAAGAAACCAAGAACAAGGGGGCTCCTTGTTATTGAGAAATTGGATCATGACTTAGTTATGACTAAGGAAATGTCTACATGCTAAATCCAATATAAGGCAGGCTCAAATGATACCCTTTGAAATAAATAACTCCTAACCTGAATCCAGAAGCGTACACCCTAGCAGCGAAAGCTCAACAAGATTTGCACAGCTTTGAGTAAGAATAACCAAATCATTGTTGGTAATCCAGGGGGTCACCCGCTCAAGCTTCAACTTCCTCAGGTTAGGCATAGGAAATTTAAAGCTTAAAATAGATATATCACCAAGACAGTGACAGAAAGCCAAAACTACCAACTTCTTCAGGTTTGCCATAATGTTCATAATGGTTCTATCAGATATTACCTGTAAAAGAACTGAAATCATTTTACAAATGACAGTATTTTATATTCTTATGTAGATTTTGATGCAAGAGAAACATATATTTTTGAAATTAAAAGAAGAAACAGAATTCTAATTCAGTGAATTCTAGAATGACCAACATGCATATACCCAACGAGACAACAGTTCACACATACTGATCGGATCATATAAGATCTTATCTGATAAGACTCTGAAGTAAATCCACAAATAGGGTCTGAATATAACTAGTCTCACTAGAAGATATCCCAATAGGTCATAACGAAGTGCCTGCTAAAGTACAAAGTTCATCAAGATCTATAGGGTAAGTGTATCTCTTGCAAAATTCAAACTTCAAAAATGATTATCCCAAAAGCAAGATCATATGAGCATTCTATATTCCTGATGTCACAGCTAATGGATGTATAACAGAATAAACCACAGGGGAAGTCACAGTTATCACCTACGATTATCTCCAAATCCACTATCACGAATACCTGAAAATAAAGAATAATCGACTCTAGCATAGGACAAATAGTTGGTAGTTTTCTCAGTCCATCTTCACCTAACAATCCACCTAAGCCCACAGTTATTTTCCTCAGTGATGTGATTGCAGGTTTCAGAGCTTCCAAAGAGAAGTAAGAAAATCCCCATCCAAGTGCAATTTCTTCCAACATGCAAGTTCTTCCTATTTCATTATGCAGTTCTCTGCAAGAATAGGAGAAAGAAAATTCCCTCTTTTGAGGATCACTTTCCCGTTGAGATAAATTCCTACAGCCCCTTGCTTTCAGACACTTTAAACCTGGATTTCCTCCGACAAGATAAGCTACAGCAGCATTTGAAACCTGAAATTTACAAGCACATAATTACCAGAGTTGCAACGACAATAGGGACATAGATGATTGCCTGTTTTTGTTTAGTCAGCTGTGTCATCCAAACTCGATGTCTTATACCCATAACCAAATTCATTGGATTTTTAAAATATTACTATATGAAAATCCTTCTGTTGATTCTCCAATGATATAAAGTTTATAAACAAGAGATGCAAGAAGCAGTGTGTTGTCTATCTTATTACTCACAAGGATTATGTGCAAGGCCAATTGACTTGATAGATGCATAAGAATTCTTAGGGGCATACGGATTATAGTTGTAGGTTTAATTTACCCATTAAACGAACATAGCCATGAAACTAATAAATTTGATGAAATATGTAGGGGTGGAGGACTAGGTTCCGATAAATTTGATGACTCACCATAGTATTAGAAATATCAAGCACCTCCAAGGAAGAACCTCTGAAACTATATAAAGCACCATCAGAAAGGTGAGTATCACTTAAACAAAGACTCTTCAGCTTTTGCATTTGAGACATAAGCTTTAGAAGAGATGTTTCGTCAACACCTGAGGAAAAAAAAAGTAAGAACATGTGTTCCGGTGAAATTTTAGGCATTTAAATTCCTAGGTCCATTAGAAAATGAAATTCATGCAACTTAGAAGCCATGATTTCAACTGACTGGAGTTGTTACAGCAACCATTTCTCAACTTCTTAGGTCTAACTTTTGTCAAATCATCATTAAATGCAATCTTTTCAGCACAGAGTGCAGAAATTGTGTAACTGGTCAATGGTGAGAAATTATGTTTCATATTACATCAGATATCAGAAAGGCAAAGGGGCATATTACTAACCTAAAGTAACGAATAGCAAGTGAGTTAAGCTAATTCTTTGTCAAGAAAATTCCAAGTACTTCCAACAGTTCAAAGTTCTTTGTCTCTCAGGTTTTGTTTGTTGTATATGGAAGTAAAAGTAGTAGGTAGAGAAGCTATTCATATATTTTGCTGTGTGGATGAATGGTGCCCTATACAAAACCCTAGCATTTCTGCCTGTCAAAAGAAACACAAAAGGGAAACATGTGTTTATTTCTTTATTCATGCCCTTTGGCATCATTTTCGAAGTAGGGGAGAATGAGAATGTTGATGAAAATAAGTCTTTGAATCATAAAATTCCAAAACAAGAATAACAGGGGAAATGCCACTCACACTTGCAGCTGCCCATATGAAGTATTTGAAGATTAAGTGCCAGGGAATCCAAAAGCTCATTTTCAATTTGTTCGACAGCAATATTATTGGAGGAGCTAGAGCAAAGAGCTAAAACTGAATTTATCCCGAAAGAGGTATCACAAACTAAAACAGAATGTAGCTTAATACATCTGCGTAAAAGACTTGCTATGCCAACATCAGTTAATGAAGTACACCCTTTGAGGTTTATGTATTGCAAGGAGACACAGAATCTGGAGATATACTGGAGATCTGAATCTGTAATAAGCATAATAAGGAAGAGTTAGTGGGCCAACCAATGATGCAAAATCAGGCGACAACATAAAAAGGAAAAATAAGCATCTCCCAATTATGTGCTGCATGTGTGTGCAACTATGCATTCACAATATTGAACCTTTACTTGGCTAGTTAAATGTCAACGAAAAATATTCAAAATAAGAAATCCAATACTTAGATACTATTCACTATTCACTATTGCAGCAGTCATATATCAGTGAATGCTGTCATCAATAGCATGCTTTAGATATGCCAAAATTTCCCTTTTCTGGACTTTTACAATGAACTCTTGCCTTATATGCAATAGAATGGGAAACATTTTCCCATAACTTTGTCCAAAAGTTTAACAAATGACAATGACACTGCCAATGCCATCAGAGTGTATGCCAAACTATCTTTTTGAGGTATGAAGCACTAATGACTCTA